CATTCTCCCAATTTGTCAAATAAAATTTGACTATGCTGAAAAGTATAACAAAATCAAAGCATTACCCTCTCCTACAAATTACACATACATACACACAAATACCGTAACTTAACAAACCAACAAATTATCTGCCAAAATTCCAAACTAGAAATGTTTTAACTAAACAAAGAGAAAAATAGTAACCTGGGAGATAAAAGAAAATACCTTCTCCCCCTTTTCACAACAAGGTAATCATACTAGAAGATTCAAAATGGGATATATTGAAACTTCATTTATCTAGTCATCCCAGTTTACAACCCCAACTCTTCATTCTCATTCACCACCAACTGCTGGTATCTTCTCCCAAAATGATCTCAAAATATATAGTATGTATATGTGTGTGTGTAAGCATATAGAATACATATACAGAATATATATAGAGAGAGAAACATAGAATATATATAGAATGTGTGAGTCTGTACATATTGCTCATGGAGAGATTATAAGCTCCTTGAGCAAAGGGGTATTATAGTTTTATTTTTGTATCCCCATTATTTGCTTAATTAAATGCTTATTGATGAAAGTTTGGTGTGGAGGATATGACAGTTGAGCCAAATCTTAAAATAAGCATAGGATCTGCCTACGAGGTTCAGAGGTGAGGAACAGCTCAAACAAAAGTATGGATGGGGATTAGTACAGCATCCTAACTACTTCTATATGGAAATGGCCTGGAACATGTTCATGTGTTCTTTAAAATGACTTACGGGAAAAACATAGAAAAGAGGCAATATAATAGTGAAAAGAGAGCCTCATTTCCTTGATGCCCCAGTAGCAAGTTCCATGGAGCAATTATCAATGGCTACACACTACAAACATACTCTAGGAACCCAATACAAATATAAGTTTTAAAGCTGCTCCAAAAGTAACCCAGTCACTGTTTTCCTTGTCTTGGACATATGTCAAGTATCTCAAATCTATAAAATTTGGGGTTTTTTAAATGACTTAAGTTTTTTTTATCTTAAACTATCAAAATATAATTTTACTAATACTATAGGAGTTGGGATTACAATTATTCAACTCTTAACTGACAAACAGTAAAAAATAAATCTTGCAAATATTCATTGTAAAAAATTTTAGTAAAATATTTTGCAGAGCTGAGTTCTATTACATGCAATTTGTTTTAAAAACTACTCAATGTTTAGGTGTTTCACCAAAGGAGAAATCAGTCATGGCATAATTGTACTTAATCATTCAGAGAATCTTAGAACAAATATGCACATAGGTCCTTAAAGTAAATATTCTCCGAAAAGTATACACACAGTTCCCAAAGAGAAAAAAATCTCTCAGTCTTCTTAGATACATAGGGATGCATATTGTAAAAATTTCACACTCATACACATATCTAAAAAAAGTAATTTTTTATGTTGATAATGATGGCAAAATGCCCATGTATCTTTATTATTTTCATTTCATCTTCAAAACCTGAATAAAATAGTTACCAGTTACTGACCTTAGTCTTTACAGTGGTTGAGGGAAGAGGGGATTTTTGTTGTTTTTAATGTTTATTCATATTGTGGGAAGATTTACTCCAACTACTTTGAAAAATATTCAGTTTCAAGTAAAAACTATTATTGAAAGGCAAGTTTGACTAATCATGCCAATATTAATATGTTAACTGCCAAATTAGCCTGCTGTTCTAGTTCAAGGATGAGATAGGTTAAGAATGGAGTAAGTTTACTAGGGTGGATGGAAAAAATAAGACAAGTTCATTTAACAATCCTCATTAATGCTTCTCACATTCTATCTTAAAATAGTTGAAGTACGTAATTATATATTCTGGTATTGTACACTAATTGTTTTGTTATATTGAACTTATCTTCCAATTAAATTTTAAGTTCCTTAAGAACAAGAAGTAATCAACTGGTGGAGCCCTGGATGGAGCATCTGCCCTGGAGTCAGGAGGACCTGAGTTCAAATTCAGCCTCAGACATAGACTAGCTATGTGACTCTGGGCAAGTCACTTAACCCTTACTGCCTCAAAAAAAATAATAATAATAATAAACTGACAAGCATTTACTAAACTTAGAATCTTCAAGGTACTGGGGATATAAAGATAAAAAAGAAATAGACCTACTCTCAAGTACCTTACATTCTATGGGGAAACAAGCTGGTACACACATAAGTGAATTTAAAATATATATACAATGTAAATAATAACCATGCTTAACACTATTATTAATCAGTAACTGCTTTCTGGTTTTCATGCCACTCTACTTTACAAGTGACCTATTACCACCTGAGACCACTAAAGAAAGCATATCATGATACGCTTAATCTTAGTTTTACATATATGTGTAATTTGAGTTATCCTCACAACAAACCTAGGAAGTAGATGCTATCATAGGCCCCATTTTACAGATGAGGAAAGCCAGTCAGAGAGAGGTTAAGTGATTTGCCCAGGGTCACACAGCTATAAAGTGTCAAAGAAAAAATTTGAACTCACGAGATCTTCACTCCAAATCCAGGGCTCCACCCATTATGCCACCTTAGTGCCTCTTGGCAAATACATGTTAATAGGAGAAGAGAGGCATAGATACTTTACTAGGTGTAGGGCATGTTAAGAGGCACTCAATAATTGTGAGAAAATGCGTACTGTGATTTAATATTCAATACTTTCTTTAGAAATAGCAGAAAAATCAGAGAATTAAGGAAAATTAATTATATCTAGAATGATGACTTCAAGACTCGGATAAAGAGAACTACTCAAAAAGGAAAAAATATTCATAAACAGTTTCAACTCTGCTAATTTCAAATGAGTATTTTTTTCAGCAGCTACTTTTAACAAGAAACCTTTCTAGATTTTTCATGTTTTATTCCCCACTCCAGGAACTTTACAAACTCTATGTATGATTCCTCACATATCACATATGAATACAATTTTCACCTCCTGTGTCCTTGACTTTGCAGCGGCTATCCATGCCTGGAATATTTCCTCTCCTCACCTTTCACCACTGCCACTTGAAATCCCTGGTTTTCTTCACAACTCAGGTCAAGAGCCACCTTTTAACAGAAGACTTCTTCTGGTTCCCCAGCTGCTACTACCTACTCCTCCAAGGTTAGCTGCTTTGCATACATCTATACATGCAATGTTGTACTTGCTTTAAGAAAATGTTTCACTTTTGTCTTTGTGTCCCTAGCATCTACCAAAGTGCTTAGCTCGTAGTATGCAATTATCCTCGACTAAAAACTCATACTCATACAATCAGTATAATTCTTGCTTAATTTAAAAATATTTTTCCTTGCCTTTATACATACTACATTCTGTACCGATTCTTTGGTAGATGATTCTATACTAGCATGCTTCCCACAAGTACAGGCACACAGTGTTGATTCTTTCAAGAAAGAAATAGAAAAAACATATCAAGAGAAAAACATTATCTTCAAAAGAAAATTAGCAGACATAAAAATACACTATTCAACCTATCTTACCTTTCATTCGCAAACATCAATAAAGAGGAAGTGCAAAAGTATTTTGATGCCACTATGCTTTACAACTAATCTCTACTAACAACTGAGGCTACTAAACAAAGCATATCATATATTTTCTACCTTTTTCCGTCTAGCTTTATGGCTTACTTTCATTCAAAACTGACTACCCATTATATAAAAACAAAGCCACTAATGATGTAATTTTAAAAATCATAATCTTAAAATATCAGCGGTTCCATAAAATCTTTTGTCATCCCGGATTTGAGGTAAGAACAAAAACTCCTGAGACTACGGTCATTCCTGTGACTTCTTACAATGTTATTTTGCTGAAATTTCTCCACCTTAATAGATTTATGTACCCCAAACGCTCAGATCTAAAATCTATAACCCTACCCAAAAGCTTCAAGAATTCACTTAAGTCCCTAATCTTACATCTTTTGTCTTAAGAATCTGTTAAGTTGTTCGTAATTTAAGAGCTGTGAAGTACCAACTAGTTAACTAGACTATCAAAGCCTCCAGAAAGCAGATAAGACTTTCTATTCCCCAGAAACAGGCAAAGAATCAAGGAAAAAGCCCTATTTTAAATGCCATGATTAGTTTTTGGCTTTTTCTTGTTTCGATCAAAATCTTAAGGAACATCAATTTTTTTTAAGAGACATTACTATTTAACAAGATTCTCTGGGTTAAGAATGTAAGTGCTTAGAAAAGGCTGCATCTTCATAAATATTCCTGAGGGCTATTTGTTCAAAGGCACAGCAGTGACAACTGAAAACCCTTCCCCTCACTGACCCGCACGCACCCTTGTGACATACCAGGGGAGGAGAGACATTTAAAGTAAAACCTGCCCAGAATCATCCCTACCAACTCGATGAAAAGAAAGCGCTGTTGGCTTTATAAGGCTTTAAAACATTCTGCCCAAATCCCAAGGCCAGAAAAGCTGGGGTTTTTGAAATTCTGCTCATTTCAGCCCAACAGCCTCATACCAAGGTAAACACAAACGCACAGATACACTTCCCTCGTCCACCTCTCTCCTCTTGGCTCCATTCTTGGTCTCCCCCTCCCCGAATAGAAAAGTGAAGATGCGATGGTACAAAAAGCAGAGTCATGGGGCGATTGAAGGTGGGGGGCGGGGAGGACGAGGAGAGGGTCCGAGAGGGAAGGATGGGGGCGCGCCAGAGAGAGGAGAGCAAAAGTGGGGTGTGCGAGCAGATGCAGAGGCATAAATAAAGCCGGCCTCGGTGCCTCTCCCGGGGAGCCGAGACTGCCATCTCCTCCTCCCCCTCCCCTCACTTCCATCGCCCCCCTCCGCCACCCCATTAGCAGCGTGGGTTCTGCCCCCAGCCCAGATGGGGGAGGGGACCCGCAGCCACCCACCCCACCTCCCTCCCCCCGGCCCCGCGCTGGGAGGGGGGCGGGGAGAAGGATGAGGACCGCAGGCTCCGGGCTCCGGCAGGCCGGGCCCGGCGGGGCGGCGGGGGGGAGGCGCGGCGGGCGCGGCCTTGGGGGGCGGGGGGACGCGCCGCTTCACTCACATTCTCCGTGTCCCGCTCGTTCACGGTCGGCAATGGCGTCCGGGCAGACATTTTGTGCGGGCGCGGCGGTCGCCGCGGGGTCGCTCCGGGGTCTCGGCAGCCCAGCCGGGGAGGGAGGGGGGCGGGGAGCGCGGGGGGCGGGACGGACTGGAGGGGGCGGGAAGGCCCCGGTCGGAGGCGGGCAGGGAGCGGGCCGGCCCGCAGTGCGCGGCCCCGGGCGGGCGGGGGAGAGGGAGGACGAGGACGAGGGAGAGATGGGGGAGAGAAGCGGCTTCCCGCGGCGCCGGGAAAAGAGACCGACCGCGATGGACGGGGGGGAGGGCCAAGGGAGGAGGGCGGGTGTCAGGAGCCGGGAGGGAGGAGGCCTGGAGAGGATGGAGAAGGGATGGACGGGCTGGGTGGGGGTGCCCGGGCCCCGCTAGGCTCTGCGGGTCATGGCGGAGGGTGAAGTCGGAGCCTCAGATCCCGGCAGGCGGGGCGGGCCTCGAGCCCCAGAGGAGGGGGCAGCCCCGAGGACCGCAGCGGACCGGGCGGTGAGCACGTCCCGCCGCCGCTGCCGCCGCGTCTTCTGCTTCTTCCTCCTCCTCCTCCTCCTCCTCCTCCTGTCGCCGCCGTCCCCGCCCCCCTGCTCGCTCTCCTCGGGTCTCCTCAGGTGCGCGGCGCAGAGCCGAGCCGGGCATTCAAGCGCCCCCGGCCCGAGGCGGCCCGACCGCCCCTGCCCGCCGCCCGCCTCCCGGCTCCCCTGCCTCGGCTCGGCCGCTCAGCTCAGCCCCGAGGAGCGACGCGGCCGAGCAGCCTCCCCTCGGATCCGGGCTGGCGGGCGCAGCACGCACAGCCGAGAGGCATTTGGCCGCTGCCGCCGCCGGGTGGGCGGGCGCCAGCCGGGGGGTGGGGGTGGGGGGCGCCTCCATTCATTCCCTCATTAGGGATGCGGAGCCTCCTCCTCCTTCCCCCTCCTTCTCCCACCTCTTCTCCTGCTCCTCCTCCTCCTTTCCTCTTCCCCCCCTCAGCCCCCTCCTCCTCAGGCCACTTCACTGTTTATTTTTGGTCCTTACCCCACGCGCAGAGCGTAAGGTGGTCAAGGCAGCTCTGGTCCCTGTCTTTTGTTCCTTCAGGGTTGAGTGGAATTAGATGACTTTTTCTTTGTGCATAGGGAATGTTTAGGGGTATTTATTTTTTTTTAGTAAACACAATGAATCTTCTCTCCCCGCCTTACCCAGCGTTGCTCTTTCCATTCTAGTCTCTCTTTATCTTTCACCATTGCTTTCTCTTCTTTCTCACCATGTTCTTAGTTAAATATTGTGTTGAGGTACAGTATTTACAGACAGTGGGTCTCAGCAAATGAGGATGCTCTCCCCCCACTTTGATCTCTCATATCAGAGTCCCAACACTCTGCTCCCTGTCTCCTCTCCGGATTCCATCATGACTCATTCTGTTCTAGACCATCTGAAGAAGTGGACGGGAAACAGCTGCCCAAGGCCCACCAGTCTCCAAGAGCCCTTCAAAGACAGATAAATCAGAGGTTTGGGCGCCTCGGGGAGCTAGGGTAGAAGGGTGTTGAATGATCCAAATTTTGCTGGGGGTGGGGTGCGGAAAGGAGTTAGCTGACTCACACTTAGCACAAACCTTTATGCCTTTGGGGTGTCACAACATATACACTTGCCGGTCACCACTTCCTGGGAAACAAGGATTCGTCATTAGAAGCACGTTCAAGGAGGCAGGGAGGCTGTCTCCATTTTTTTTTTCACTCCTCTCATCAAGGTGACTGACCCACCTCAACCCTCCACTGACCTACTCCTAATTATGCCCCCTGGAGAACACTATGAGGTATTCTCCTAAGGATTCATTATGCTTCAATTCAGCCTCATTTTAATCTAATCTTGCATTAGTTCATCAAGTTTACTCGCATCTTGCCCTCCAACGCAGAATTTTACCTTTTTTATTCAGCTTTTCCCCATTTTCCTTTTCTATCCCAGAGGGATTCCATTCATTATATCATGAGTGGTTGCTGGAGGTAAGGGAAAAAGAAAGTGTGTTTTATTGAGGAGGATGTGTGCATATACACGAACATATATGTCTTTATATATGCACATGTGTCCATATGTATGTGGACATATACCTATATGTATATATACATATATGTGCATATATATCCTACTTTTTAAAGCTTCTTCCCCAAAATTGTGTCGGGAACTCTAGGATAGTGAAAAATCCTGCTCTTTTCATGCAATTCATCTAATTTGAAGGAACTATTTGTGGAGCATAAGACTTTTCTCCCTCTAGCTCATTGAAGGATAGTTCTGAAAAGTAAACATTTGACTAAATCATCTTAACTGACCAGCACTAAAAACAGCAAATAGCAAAGGTTCCAGGAACAAAATGTTTCCACCTTCTACTTATATTCATCTCAAACATTCCCTAAGATCAGGGAGAAGGGACAGAGGAGCTGTTGGTTAATTACCCTTTTAAAAATTATTTTGAAATCACTCCATTCTCCAATTTTACAAAACAAATGGAAGGAGAATTAGGTATTTAAAGTCATTCAGCCCCTATAATTAACTATCACCACATTCCAAACAGGAGTTATTTTATGAAACTCCAAGAAAACATCCTGAATTATAATGTACAACTGAGAACACCAAGTTTTTTGTTAAAGCATTTCTATAGCAGCATCTTGTAGGCCACAAGGAGATCTGGCATTGCCAGGCAAAGGGGCACATATTTAGCTACACTGGTCTATGAGAAAGGTGACCACCCAAAAAGTTTACCAGAAAAAAAGTAGAAGCAGTATGGAAAGAGTACAGTGATTATGATGACCCAAGGATCACTTGTATTAATATGTTCAGAATGCATAATAATTTTAGTGCATTACCAATTCAAGAAATTAATAATTTTCAAAGGTTCTCCTCATGCTAACCCTGTAAGATAGTCAAATATGCTTTTTTATTCTCTTTGTACACATGAGAAAACTGAGAGCCATAGAGTTCAGTGATTTGTCCAAGCTTACAGAAGCATGCCAGACTGAGAAGCAGACAGCTGGCAGTGGTAGCACTAATTGATGTCTTGCACTAGGCAAGATTCACTAGACACCACAAGGTAATAGAGCTAATTACAAACAGAGCTGGGACTGGAACCCAGGTTTTCAGTTCTCAGTTCCCTAGACGACATGGCTTCCACAAACCAGTTCCTGTTAAAAGTCATTTGGGTAAATATGCAGCATTGTACCTCTCTTGTTGACACTCAGTAAAAGTTAAATGACAATAGTGGATACATATTTCATACAATTAACATACAAGAATAGAACTAGCATGTCAGATCAGTAACATGTACACTAGAAAGTATAATATTGATATTAAGCCTCAAAGTGGGCATGCTTCCCACAATTCTGGCTAACAAAATACTACAAAAACAACTCCATCTGTCCAAAAATCACATCCAAACAAACCTCATTTGTTTCTATGGTTTAGAGTTTGGTTAATGAAACAAAAATGTACATGTGTATTAAGAGATTAATAATTCATTATTGAGATGATTTTAAAAGACTGTTATTGAACCCCTCATCTTTATGCAGGTATGATTGCTGCCTTCCTTATGTATACAATAGAGTATTCTTAGTTAAATATGTATTACCGTAGATCTCAACAAATGAAGATCCTCTCAAATTTTTCAGGTGCTATAATGTATCACCCTTATATTTTATATGTAGGTCCTTGTGTCTGTGACTATGAAATTATGACCAAAAATGGATTTTTACTTGCTTTGAGTAGTTGCCTTTTAGTCCAGTAACCAAATTCAATCTGTTCATTTTAGAAACCTCTCTTGAGATATAATACTCTTGCCAGTAGACTAATAATTAAAGAAATAAGTACAGAAGAGGTATTTTTAAAGATTATATTGGGTAAAAATTCCAGGTTTTTAAATTTTAAAATTTTTTATTTCACTGGACTTTGCTGTAACTGCTTATTGAAGAGGGGAATTCAGTCTAAGAATCTCAGAATTTCAGAGTTAGAAGGGATATCAAAAGTTATCTAGACCAAGCCATTCAGGAACAGTAAACTTCTTGAAGATTCTACTTGGTGTTCTCCAGGAAAGGGGAGCTCATCAACCTTCCTGAGGTAGCAAATTCCCCTGGAATATACTGGACAAAGTAATCATTAAAAAGTGTTTTTGTTTTCCTCCTTTTATATCCAGCTAAAATATGCCACTTTCTGTAGCTTCCACCCATTTTTTTTCATTCTGCCCACTGGGATAGGTTGGCTCTGAACTGTGCTTGAGGATCTTAGAGATGGAAAAGGGTCATCAGTTCAAATCCATAAAAATATTGTGCACCTACTATTTACAAAGTTTTGGAAATACAAAGAGGGAAAATGGTACAATTCTTACCCTCAAGAAGCTCAGAGTTAGTCTAATTGGTAAGTGTAACATACACACAAATAATCAGAAGTTAAAATGAGAAAAGTACCTAGGAGAAATCAAACATAGATAAAGAATATTGAGGTGTTGAGGTAGCGCACTGCAGAGCTAGAACTTTGTACTTAGAGTCAGGAAGGCATGAGTTCAAATCCTGCCTCAGAATTACAAACTCTGACTATAGGAAAGTCATTTAACCTTACTGAGCTTCAATTTCCTCATCTATAAAATAAGAGTTTGGGACTAAATGGATTCTGAGGTCTCTTCCAGCTCTAAATCTGTGATCCTATAATCTCACAGATGCTGCAAGTATGAGAAATCATCTGCAGTAGGCAAGGAGGAAATCAAGGAAGATCTCATGGAGGAGGTAGCAAATAAGTTGGACCCTGAAGGCAGGAAAGGATTTCAATATGTGAGGATGTGGAGGGAGTCTATTCCAGAGATGGTGATTGATATATACAAGTGTGCTAAAATAAAAGAGTAGATCTGGGAATTCCTACTGATCTTGTTTGGCTGTAATAAAGCATATGAAGTAGAGTAGTATGAAATAACAATGGAAAGTTCCATTAGAGTCAAACCATGGAAGGCCTTGAATGGCAAAATAAGATGTTTGTATTCTATCCTGAAAGTAATAGAAAATTGCTGGAAATTTTTGAAAAGAGA